TAGCAGGAGGAGAGAAGCTGCAGAGAGGTGTGTAAGACTGCAACTCTGCTTCCTGGTCCCAACTCTGGATAGTCATATTTTGGGGGGTTTAATAAATTTGTCCATATTTCTAGAAATGAGAGCTGCTCCATCCAAAGTGGGATGGATGCCGTCTCTCCTAACAAGACCAGGTTTCCTATTCAATTCAATTCAATTCAATTTTATTTATATAGCGCCAAATCACAACAACAGTCGCCTCAAGGCACTTTATATTGTAGACCCTACAATAATACATACAGAGAAAAACCCAACAATCCAGGCCTCTGGATTTTTTTTTGGAAGAATTCTATAACATTACAAGACTGGTAAAATTGGGAGTTATTGTCTTCACGTTCTCAAGAAAATACCACAACCTGAACTGGGCTTTATTGGAGCAAAGTGCAATAAAACAGATGGATGTCAGCAGGTAAAACATGTCTGGCTCTCACCCACCTGAAGAAGCAGCTCCCCCTCGGGTATCTGGATCTCCGTAGCTCCCGTCGTCTTGCTGGCATTGTTGTGATCACTGCTCCTGTTCGTGCCACTGGATAGCCGGTTCTTCAATGCCACTGCAGAACCAAAGGGGACAAGTTAGTGATGACCAGCAAAGGTCCAGGTAAACCAGCTCCGAGTAATTCAGGAACAAAAATGGAAAAAAATGTTTTGCGTTTGAATTTATCCTTTGCAGCTGCATCCCGTAGTGAAGAAGCCGGAGGGTTTTCAGAAGCTTTGTTTTAAGATATTTGGACAGGAAGGCCAGTGGGGATAACAGCTTTACAGAAAGAGACAGAGAGTGAAAGGGGGGGATTTCAGGACACAGCATAGAGGGAGTAACACCTTAAATGAAGGTGTGAAGAGGGAGAGAGCAACACTGTTTTTACACATGAACTTTGGATCATTTTGGGAGAATCAGGCTGGGATAGTGCTTAGTGTGTCATAACACAGTTGTACTTCCTCAGATGCAGCACAGAGCAGGAAAATGTCTGCTTCAAAGACTTTCTCAGAACTGCAAATAGTGTGTGAACTTTACATGAAGGAACTGCCATTACAGAGGGTGGAGGAGGCAGGACTGCTGTTGTGAAAAACACATATGAGGTATGTGAATGTTGCCTAATTTTAGCTAGAGAATAAACCAAAGCAATGATGGCTGATTTCTTAGTTTTTGCAACAAATTTTTAATATTAGACAAAAAATAACCTGACTGAATACAAATGCAATTTTTAAATGATGATTTCATTTATTCGGGGAAAGGATATCCTAATTTACCTGGTCCTGGGTGAAAAACCTAATAACTGGTTGTGCCACCCTTTGTAGTAACAACTGCAGAGTCCTGTGCAGAGTCCTGAGACCAACCATGGAAGATGGTGTATTATGCGTGTGTGTGCACCCTTGAGGAGAAAATCTGTAGCAGGTCAAGTCTGAAGGAAACAAAGAGCTTTTCTGAAGCACCAGTGGAAACCTTAACAGAGGAGGAAGTCTCTGACAAAATAGAGGCCGGAGGTTGGGATGGTCAAGCGGTTTCTTCTGATCGTGATCCAGACGCCCCGCGGGATTTAATAGCGCTCCATCGTACCTCTTTAATATCACGAATGGAGTGGCTATGTTGACCAGCCCTCGGTGGTAATGCACAGCATGATGACCAAACACAAACCTCGGCATAGAGCCATTAGAAAATTATGATTTTGGATGGAAACAACAGCAGTCTCTGCTGAATGAGGTCCTCCTGGTTATTATCTGAGTTATATTTCCAGAATCACTTCACAGGGATAGGAGCCACTTTAAACCTTTAACATACTTCTAGTATTGTCAGCAAAGAGTTGCTTAGATTAAATTAGCATGACAACATTGTGCTTTGGGCCTTTAATTCAAACAGTGACTCCTTAGTGAGCTGCAGCCAAACCTTTGTCTGCTGATGACTCAGACACAAAATAAAGCCTGTCGACTAGAGCTGGGCAATATGAGATTTTTTCATATCACAATATGTTTTTTTCATTTCAGGCGATAACGATATCTATCACGATATAAGCCAAATAACTATATTTGTAAGATTTAAATGTGCCGTTGCTCACAAGTAAAATGTGAAATAATCAGCAGCTTGTTTTGATTTAAATATTTATTTCCCATAATAAGTTCAACAGGGTAGATGTACTTAAGGAACATGAGACTTTTTCAGATAAATAAAGGCAAATATTGCAAACTACACAAAAGGCAGCCGCTAAAGCGTTTAAGTTTCAAAACAGAACAAACGAAACAGACTAAATTGTCAATTCCACTTAGAAACAAAATATTAATTCTAAAAATAAATCTTAGTTTGTTTTACAGAAGAACAGACAAAACTGACTAACTTTTGTCAGTATCAAATAAACTGAGAACTAAAAGGAAATTCTCAATCTCTCCTTGTTGTATAGCTGAGCTTTTCAAACAGTTTTAACAGTTACTTTAGTCTGACAAAAGCCGAATGACGAATTAGCGCTTCCAGTCAGAGACTGAGGCTACGGCCACACGTACACGGGTATTTTTGAAAACGGAGATTTTCCGTTTTCGTTTTAAAAAATAATCCCGTCCACACATAAAGGCAGAAATGAAGGAAAACGCTGCTATGAACATGCCAAAGCAGCAGGTGGCGCTAGATTCCTAACCGTGCAGAAATGTTGGCCAATCAGAAGTCTAGAAGCCTCGGTGGGAAAAAGTAAACAAAGCTGCGGCATAGAAGCAGAACCGAGTCGTGTGTGTGGAGGGACAGTAACTGTGTGTATATGTAAGCATTTAAACACTGCAGAGAGTAGAATTAACAGTAACAGTATTGTAGAAATTCATTTCACCGAAACAATAACGTGGCGCACAGTGTGACGTCAAAAAATGCGCACACCTTTGACGCTGCGTTTTCTCCGTTTTTCTAGTCCACACGTAAATGCAAAAACTGAGTTTTCAAAAATCTTCGTTTTCAGTGACCAAAAACGCCGTTTACGTGTGGACGAAAGGTGCAAACGCATAGAAAAATCTGAGTTTTCAAAAATACCCGGGTACGTGTGGCCGTAGTGCATGCACCAGTTTATTGTATTTCCAGACTTGCTTTCGGCACAATTTACAGTGCACGCTACTCTGTTTTTGTCAGACTTGAAATAGCCGAAATACCTTCACACTACGGAACTTCTATGGCTCTTCCGTTCGACAATCTCTCCGGCATTGGAACCATCATCTGTTTTCTCTTCGGTAACCTTCGGTCACGCTCGGTTGATTTTTCTAGTCGGCACACTCATTTCCTCCATTACCCGCTGGCTGCTTCCCAAACAAACACACGTGCGGCTTGGCACTTGTGCTGTACGTAACAAGTCACGCGACGTGACGCTGCGGCTGTGATTGGTTCGGCTCTGCGCTACTTAATTTGGATTGGCTGACCTTTTTTTTTTTTTTAAGAGGACAAGAGACAAGCTATAGCGATAGCTTAATTTCTCTATCGAGTAAAAGTTATATCGCGATACATATCGTTATCGTTCTATCGCCCAGCTCTACTGTCGACCATCAATTATTAAGAGCGAGACAGGGTGGAAGGGGGTTTTTGGACCCTGACGTCATGACTTGGAGCCATTGGACAAAAAACACCCCGAGGCAACCATGAGGAGGAGGAGAAGCGACATGTGTTTGCAAACAGAGGTTGATGAAAATTCACAGAGGTTTCCTCAAGAGGTCCTCACTCGAATAGACACTGCAGTATGTGCACAGAAACGTTACAGTAAACAGGAATGCGATATTATCATAGTAACACATCAGTAACTGAGGGAGTTCATGAAGAGGCCCTTGGATGTCTTATTTTGTCGAAAACCCAAAATATATTCAGTTTCCAGCAAGGTCTAGCAACCTCCCAGGGTGCAGTTCCTCCAATGTCCACTTGGCTCTACCTGCACCTCAGTTTCCAAACAAGACTACAAAAGACAAGGGTCATAAGTGAGTAAATGCTTGTTTCTGCTGTTTATACAGTAGCATCTACACTCACTTTACTGCTCCAATGCCTTTCAGTCAGTTAGCAAGTTAGTTCAACTTGTGCTGCTAAATATTGGCTCTAAAACATTTTGTAGCCGCTTTACCCCACTCTTCTCATTGTATTAGAGTGTTTCATACTACCAGGCATGTCAAGAGTATATCCCTTTAGTGCTTAGTGTGTCGTAACTGATACATACAGATTTTAAGATTTCTTTATAGTCAGTGTGATGCCCCCCCAAAACCTAAATAAATTGCACAATACATTGTTAAACAATAAATACTCCCCCAAAATTGTAGAGATAAGTTATGTAGCAAATATGATGAAAGCTAAGATTTAATGTTTTTTGTTTAACTCGTCAGAAGGTTCAATAAACGCCCGAATCATTGACTCATCTGATGAATAATTTGGCTTGCCGTGGCAAAATGTTTATTAAACTAGAAAAACACCCAAGAATGTTGCATTTTACTGTGTGAAATTGTAGTATTTTATTATAATAATATCAGGTATCGGTAGGGTTGAAAGCAGTACTCTGTACCTTTTACGGTACCAACTAAAATACTGAGTACCGATTTGCACTAAATTCAATTTTGGCACCCAAGCACATCTGGGTTAGAAGAAGAAAAAGTGAGACCATGTGATGACTCAAACCTGAACAAAAACTCGATGTAGGCAACACTAGGCCCTTCAAAGAATGTCTGTGTGAATGAGTCTTGTACGAACAAATCTCAAAATAAAGTAGAAAAGCACTTATAGGTACTAGTAAGGTAGCTGGATAAGCAGTTCTATAAGTTTTATGATGGTTACGCTGACATTTCTTATCAGCATGCTATTTATGTTAAACAAACATGTTATGTCGGACAATATGTCTGAAATGTTAGCAGGTAAATGGTAAATGGACTAGTTCTTATAACTTTTATTATTTAATATTTTAGTACACAAACACCAGGAGACTGATGCTTACATCATTTACATCGTCTGACAGCAAAATGTTGTAAATAAATAATAAAACACAGAGAAGTATGGACTTATTTTGTTTGAGAAAACTTTGAATTTACTATTTCAAATGAAGCAAAGCACCGGAAACAGTACCAAATTCCACACACTGGTACTGGTTTTGGTTAACTGCTTACCAAGCTAATTACTTTTTATTTGTATTTAGTTTTAATCTTTTATTTTCATCTTTAAAAGTACCGAAAGTACAACAAGTACTGTTTGAAAATGAAGGATTTTTCCACATTATGTTTTATGGATGTTTTTCCATGTGTTTTAATTTCCATGGATATTTACAAAATATCGATAAAGTTCAGTAAAAAACCCTGATATTTTTATAGGCAGAAAATAACCAGGACATAAAATGGTAACACTGAAACTTAAAAATTCAAGAATCCCACGGGTGACATCACAGTGGCCATCTTTTACATACAGCCTATAGTTTTCAGTTGTAAAGACCTGTCAGGTTAAAGTGTATTGATAAATGACTAAATTGATTTCTACCATTTCTGATGACTTAACAGCTGGTTTTTGGACATACAACCATCTTCTTGGATGCTTATTCAATGATAGCAATCATGTGCTTGGAGGTCTAAG